ATACATCTCAGCATGATCTGTAAGGCACGGCTGTTGCGCGAACTTGCGGTAACGGCTGATATGTGCAAGGGCATGTGGGATTTCCAACCTCGTTGACACGGTTTGACTTGAGGGCGCACGGGGCTATAGATGGGTTGTATCTGGTAGTTTCAGGAGCTTCATGTAGGGGCGTACATAAATAATTACCAATACTATTCGGGGTGCTCCGTATATTTACTTAAAACAGGATATGTAATGTACCCCAAAACTCTATTCGAATTAGTAAGCCCCCAGTATTACTCTCTGAGGGTTAGGGTGTACCGTTCAAGGGGTTCAGAGGTTATGATTTTTTTTTAATATCGCGGCCCTGCAAAAGTTCTGTGATTAGCCCCTAAACCCTAAACCCCTAAACCCTAAACCCTAAACCCCTAAACCCTAAACCCTAAACCCCTTTCCGCAAGATGGCTCCAAAGCTGGCGCCTTAGAACAGGACAATGCCCTTTCCCCTACAGCGCCGAAGCCTCAAGCCCCAGTTACATGCTAACCCCTAAACCCTAAACCCTAAACCCTAAACTCTGAGCCCCATAAAACCCTAGACAAAACGAACATGGCCCTGTATACCCAAACGCCTCGGACCCACGCCGAAGCCTCCCAGGATTCCCTTCCACTCTACGACTCTTCCGAATTTTTGGTTTAGGTTTTGGGGGTTTTGGGATTTAGGGTTCAGGGTTTAGGGTTTAGGGGTTTTGGGGTTTAGGGGTTTGGGGTTTAGGGTTTTAGGGTTTAGGGTTTTGGGGTTTAGGATGTTTTCCAGCCCGAAAGATGAATTGAAGCCCTTAGCTTAATCTCACAAAACGACCGAAGAGCTCAGCTCCACTTCTTGGAGGTTATAGGGCTTAGGGCACCTGTGAAGTACATGAGGCTTTGAAGTGCGAAGCCTGAACAGCCTGAAGACTCAACCCTCCACGGTTTAGGGTTTTGGGGTGGTTTAGGGTTTAGGGTTTAGGGTGGTTTAGGGTTTAGGGTGGTTTAGGGTTTAGGGTTTAGGGTTTAGGGTGGTTTAGGGTTTAGGGTTTAGGGCCTCCAGAAAAACTGGACGCCATGGCTATGGCGAGCTCCGGCATGTGGGTGGCGTTCGCGCTCCTTGCGGCGACCTTCCATTTCAGGCCATCCAAGCTGCTCGTACGTTCCTCTTAATGTTATCTCGTGCTTTGAGAGAATCACCAGCTACTTAGGGTTTATAGGGTCTAGGGTTTAGGGTTTAGGGTTGGCACTGGTGACGATACCGCTGCTACTGTACTGTTACTTCTGCCCTGGCATTCCGCTTTCTCCCGCCCTTGCTTCGCCTTCCTACAGCTTAAGCGTGAGAACGCTGAACCAACAATGTATACCACAAACCCTAGCGTAAACCGTTACACCCTAAACTGTCCGCATCCACAAACCCTACCCTATAAACCCCATAGGCCCTAAACCATTCACCCCCTTAAACGTGTCCGTGGAGGACTACCTGATCCCTATTATGGTAACTTTAATTTAAAACCTTAAATCCTAAACCCTAAACCCTAAATCCTAGTCCGTGGAGGACCACCTGGGTAGATTTTCTGGCTCTGGTTCAACACGGCCGGCGCTACTTGCGCCCGAGTCTTGGCAGACATTGCGGTCTAGGGCTCTCCGTAGTAATCTTGGTTCTTCATAGGGGATTTAATTTCAGATACCTTATTTAAAGAAACCATATTACTCACTATAGATCTCCATTGTGGTAACTTAAATGAAATCCCTTAAGAAGAGCCCAGAAATTTCTGAGCTTGGCCCTTCGACCCTTAACTTTTGAGATTTCCTTATGGGTTCCCTTTATGGGTACCTAAAGCTTAAACCCTAAACCCTAAACCCCTAAACCCGTAAACCTCAAAACCTAAAAAGCTCTAAACCCTATAAGCCCTAAACCCTAAATTATCACTTGTAGTAGGTGTTGAGCGCCATCGTGGGCCTTTGGGGTCATAGGGTTCAGGGTTTAGGGCCCTCTGTGGCTTGAAGCTGGTTGCAAGGTCTCAGGGTTTAGGGTTCAGGGTTTAGGGTCTACGGGTTTAGTGTTTACGGGTTTAGGGTTCAGGGTTTCGGGTTTAGGGTTTAGGGTGCTTCGAGCCGGTGGGGTTTAAGACAGATTAATCTCGTTTTCGTTCACAGTAGACTTCGAGACGAGGGGTTGGGACATCTACCGGGTTTCGGAAAGTAGGAGACAGTACAAAAGGACCCGAACAACAATGATCCTGATTTCAACATAGTATTCAGGAGCCCAAAATTGCCCCCAAACCCCTAAATTAAACCTCCAGACACCTAAACCTATAAACCCTAAACCTCGAAACCCAAAGCACACAGCCCGAAACCCCAGAACCCTAAACTCTACCCAACAAATGCCTCCAGCCCGACGTTGGCACGAGGGCGGGCGCTTCCGCCGGGGGCGTCTCTACAAAGCGCATCAACGAAGCCATGGATCGGATCAGAGAGGACCGGTTTTCCAAAAAGGTCGTTCATGGGATTCAAGGGCTCCTTGAAGGGTTCCTTTGCGGGCTCCTGTAAGGGACCCTTGGAGGAGTTTACGGAAAGGGTTCTTCAAGGGTGCTTTTAAACCCTATAAACCCTCGACCCTAAACCCAATTTAAGGGGTCCTTTAGGGATCAGAGAGGACAGGTTTACAGTTTGTCCAAGGCTTTGGAGGTCGAGGGCTAAGGAGTTAGGATTTCGAGTTTCGGGTTCAGGGTGTTGCGGCGAGTTTACATGGTTAACTTTAGGCTTCACGATGAAAATTGTCTCACGCCACGCTTCCTGCTGTGTCCATTGCTCGTATGGTCAACTGTCTCTGCCGCTCGAAGACCTTCAGCATGGATGCTCTCAGGGCAATCATGCTTTGCTAGTACAACCGCTACGACTGCCACCTCGACTGCAGTCATCGCAACGACCAGCATCGCCGCCGCCACCTCCACTACTGAAACACCACCGCGAAGACCACGACAGCAGTGATGGGGTTGATGTCCTTTCTCCCTTCGTCTTTTCTAAAGTCTCAACATACATCTCCCTCGAAAGTGTCGGGGTTAAGAGGTTCCTTTGCTGGTATGGTAGGGAGATTTGCGTATGGTAGTTGATCTAAAGCTTCTTGTGCCGTAATTTATATGAAAGGCCAACTCCATAGCCTAAACATGCCTTCGCGTAAGTTCCTCGATGTTTCCGCGAAAGACAAGCCTTTCTTTGCGAAAGTTATATATGTAGCAAACTACTATTACTATTACTATCACAATTACTACTACCATTACCATTACTCCTACTCTTATTCTTACTACTACGATCACTATGACTGCTACAATTACCATTACTACTACTATTACCACCACTATTACTAGTATCATGAGTACCATTACATTTAGAATTACTCTTACAATTATCATTCCCATTACCATTTCTATTACTGTTACCATTTTTGTTGTTTTTATTGTTACTGCGACGATTGATACTATCATTGTTGCTGTTACTGCTGCTGCTACTACTACGACTACTACTTCCGCTACTGCTGCTATTGCTACTTTCAGTAGTGCTAGCACCACTAGTATTAGCACTATTATTGTTATTATTATTATTACTGTATACTACTACTACTACTACTACTACTACTACTGCTACTACTACTACTACTACTCCTCCTACTACGACCACCACTTCTCAGTTACTGCACACAACCGTCAAGTGCGACCCGCCGCGGACCACGCATTACCTCTCACCTCCGACTGCTACGGCTACTGCCACTGCTACGGCCACGGCTACGGCTACTCACCAGCCCTACCACCACCACTGCTGGTACTTCTGCTTTTCTTCTAGCACTCAAAATTAAGTTCCCGGACATATTGTTCAGCGCGTAAGATCGGCGTTGGTTCCGCATAAGCGGCGTTAAAGTCGACGTAGCCAGATCTAGGCCCATGGACATCGTGGGGTTCCTTTAAGGGTTCCGTTTAAGGTTTCTTTTCAAATCTCCTTTAAGGCTTACTTTGAGGGTTCCTCTAAGGGTGCCGAGACTTCGTCGCATGAAGACGGCCTTAAGCGACTCTGTCGGTCTATGGTAGCTTTCATGGCAGCCCCGAAGCCCGAAGGAAAGGCTTCCAATCAGCTATGCCATGCCATCGAGAAACTTTCAGGAAACTTTATCAAGAATCTTACGTTTATGACGGCTTCGTGAAAATTCCGGTCCTGAAGGCGGCCTTAACCAGCTCTGTCCAACTACACGCAGCCCTGAAGCGCTTAGGAAGCCTCCCAGAAGCTCTTCTTTATAATGCCCACAGAAAGCTTGCCATAGAGAAGCTTGTAGGAAGCTTTGGGCTTCATTTGGGGCTTATAACTATGGCATAATTATGGCTTAAGACTGGCATAGGTATGTAATGGGATGGACGCAAATATGCCCCCGCGAAAGTTCCGCGATGGTGTTGCGAAAGACAAGCTTTTATCGCGAAGAAGGTCATTCCGGGATGAAGGAAGTTAGGTCAGCAGCCATATGTGGACTGTATTCACGCGCTGAGTATTAATTGATACTTGATATTGATGAACACAGTTAGTACAGAAGCCTGAGCAATTGCTAACACCCTGGCTTCTGGTTCCTCAATATCGGTTTACATTATTTGCCTCGAAACCCTATTCCATTTACTAAGGGCCCTACATTACATATATAACAGCCTGGGCTTTGCTGGATTGGACTGCTCAGCCCCTGGGTGCGGTGGCTGAAATATGAAGGTTCCCATTCCTGAGCCCCAGAAACCCTGAGCCTTATACAGTCAGGAAGGGCCTTCCGTCACGAGCCAGAATTGATAGGGTTTTGGGGTCGTGGCCGTTGCGAGATGGCTTGAGCCTTTCGACTCTTGTGTGAAGACTCGGTTCTTGCTGAGGGATTTAGTCTAAGTTATTTTATGTTATTAAAATCCCTTAACAAGAACCAAGAAGAGGACAACTATGTTGTGACAGCCCGGCTTGCACAACATCTCAACATGGCGTGCGTGATTGCGGTTCCCCTTGTTTACGACGGAGATTTCATGACCTTTGCATTCATGATGTTTGCCAACAGCTTCCTGTATTCCATGCACTGGTCGGTTTCCGCTGGACGAATTCATGTCTCCGTGGCAAGTCTCCGGTGTTTCTATGTCTTTGCGTACGCAATAATGGTCTTGGCGCACTGGATGGGTCCGCAGTCATACGACGCCCACTCATCGGCCCATATGAAGTGCTTGGAGGCTGGACAGTTGGTCTCAATCCTTGTTTTCGTGGACAGCCGGACCCACACCGTTGGTCAACTCGTATTGGCTCTCACGGAGGTATGTCGTCACATTGTGAACCGCGGTTGGGAGCGAACGGAATTGACGGCGACCATCCATGCGCAGCTTGTGTTTTCAGGGCTACTCATCATCGCCGCCATCGTATTCGAGCTTATTCTCCGTGGACGTGTAGCCGCACAATTTCAACATGCAGATGCTGAGTCGTTGGTCTCAAGCTTCCGTACGCTGTTGGGAGGCATTTGCGATGCAGAGCTGCTGTTGGATGACAAGCTTAAAATTGAAGCGGGCACGGGTTTGAGTCGCATTCTGCTGTCAGGCCGGACTGGATGAAGCCCTGGACCTAAGAGCCCAAACCCGATGTGAAAGCACGCTGTGCCCGATTCACCCACACTCGTGGTTATGGTTCCTTTGTGAATTCACCTACTGTCCTGTTCTAATTGTCAAGGCCCTGAACACGTTTTCACAGTTGGGTAATATAACATATTATATTTTAATCTGGTACTTAGACTAGGTATGGAAATTTAAATGCTTTAATACTATCCCAACCATGCACAAGGATACACTCGTCCCTGCAGGGAATGTGTGGGAGGGTGCCGCGTTTGAGGACCTGTTGTCCCAGGACCTTGAGGAGCACTGGGGGACTGATGGATCAACCCTCAGCCCCCAAAACCCTAAGCCCTAAACCCTAAATAACCCTAAACCCTAAACCCTAAACCCTAAATTAGGCCCTAAATCCTAAATCCCTAAACCCGAACCCGTAAGCCCGAAGCCCGTAACCTGGTTTCTCGTTAAGGGATTTCATTTAAGTTACCATGATAGGCCCAAAGCCCGACCATCTCTTAAGCCTATATTGACCTTCAACCCTCTTGGGTTTCGGGTTTAGCCGATAAGCGCAAGACCCGAAACCCTAGACCCTACATCTTTAACCCGCATTGCGTGAAGGAGCAGCTGCGTTTCCAAGCTTTCATGTCGACGGGGGGGCATGACAGTCAGCCGCACCTCAGCTGATGTTCCGTGGAGTTTTGTGTGCCATTTTCACATACATATTTAAAAAAAAAATATATATATGGTCTAGGGTTAAGGGGTTTAGGCTTCAGGTCTTACAAGGATACTCCTCTCTTACATCCTACACCCGAAGCCCAAAGCCCCAAACCCCAAGCCATTCAGACTCAGGACACCTGCAACTGCGCCATGTCTCCGCGTGACTTTTTGCACTGCTCAGCAGCAGCCCAACCTGTTTTCATTCATGAAGTTCAGCTTGAGAGTTCGATATAGGGGAGTTAATGATTACAAGTACTATCTTAGGGTTCCTCATTATGGCTATAGTCTTTTATGCAATAAAACCCTATTCTAATTATGAAGGCCCTGCATTAGGGGTTGCTTCAGGGTTCCCCCAAGCTACTCCTGAATATACCTAGGCCTAGGCCCTCAAGGGGCTCCTACAAACGAACTTTGAGCGCTTAAGTACGGTTGATGATAGAAATCCTGCATTACCCATAATAAGGAATATGCCATAACTCCCATAGTTTACGGTCCTTAAGGTGATGCAGGATGTATATTATCAACAGTATCTAGTACATGGGTTCATGAAGTCTTGGGGTACCCCATTCTCTCTTTCCCTTCTCTATGCGCTCCTTTCTCTCGCCACATCCTGTCTTCCTTGGTCTCGCCACGCAGAAACCGCTCTACTTATATTACCTGGCGATCAAGGGCCTTTTTGCGGTATTGCTGGTAGCAGGCAGCAGGCTGGGCGCGGCATTGTTGTAGAACCAAAACAAAGGAGGAGCATGCACCGCAAGCAGTGTTTGGTTCACCTGAAGGAATGCGCTAGTGTCGATCAGATTGCTTCGATTGGTTGAACGCGCTGCATCCCTGAATCCGGAAGTACATATGTACATACATGTATATTCAATCATACATACATGTACATTTACACGTGTTATACATATACATATACAGTTCCACAGCAACCGAAGCAACAAACAAAATTCAGGCAGAGGGTTGGCGTGGACCTGTACCACGTGCCAGTGCCGCACTTGCTCCTGGTCCATATTTGGAGGTTTCCGAAAATAGGGGACCCTAATATAGTACCCTAAATAGTGGCATCCTTATGATTAAGGGCCCCAAAATACGGTAGCCTAATTTTCGGAAACTCCCATTTAGGGTTTCGGGCTTCGGGTTTAGCGATGGCTAGGGTCCGTTTTCGGGGTGTCTCAGAAGGATCCTCGAAATTCAGTGCCCCTTACCTCGCATATGGTAAAGGTCCCCAAACCCTGAATGATACTTTCTTGATCTTTCTTGTATCTCAGAAGGATCCTACAAATCAAGTGCCCCTTACTTCGCATATGGTAAAGGTCCCCCAGACGGGGTAAATTAGTGAGTCTCATGCAAGCATCAGAAAGGCTCTGTAGCGGCTCTGAGATTGCCAACAAGTGCTTTAGGGTTTAGGGTCTAGGGTTTTAGGGGTTTAGGGGTTTAGGGTTTAGGGTTAGGGCTCCAGGCGGTTTCGGAGCTATGTCTTGGCTCAGTGTGGAAACTACTCGCAAAACCTGGTTGATCTTTCGCTCTCCCCTGTCTACAGTATGGTACCAATGATACTAAAGACCCGAAACCCCAAACCCTAAACTCCTAAACCTAAACCTTAATGTCCTGCTTGCACTGTATTGCGTTTTGCCGTGGATCGGACAACTGAGCCGCGCATAGTGGGACGCTTCTGTACTCTGCAGTTACGTACTTGCGGCTCCGTTCACCAATGTAGGGGATGAGTTAGGAGTCTCAACTTGCAACTCTGTAGCGTCACTAACTTACTTGATGGGCAATTGCACCAGGATCGACAAGTTCGGGACTTCACCTACATCTCCAAACCCTGTCACAAGACTGAGCGGAACGCTGCCGACCGTAGCTAGACTCAGACTCTAGACACCGCCGTCCCTCGACACAATGTAGCGCCTATTTGCTTGTTGACTGGTCTCTATTACAGCAAGAATGCAGATACGACTATGAAGAAGTCCAGACAATGATGCTGCAGAGTAGTCAGAACTTGGAGGTCCAGGGGACTTAGGAGGTGGGTTGTAAGTAGAGTTATAAGCACCCTAAATGGAGCTGCCCTAACTATAACCCTACTTACAACCGACTTACTGAGTCCCCTGGGCCTCCAAGAAGGTATGGCTGCGAGGATGCCTATCATCTTCTTGCCATGAAGATGGATATGGAATCCTCTGCATTGCCGGAGGCCACTTAGGGTTTAGGGTTTAGGGTCACGGAGGTAGACCCAAACCCTAAGCCCCTAAACCGCTAACCATAATTGAACCCCTAAGCCATAAACCACTGTTAAACGCGTCAGCGGCGTGGGGGGACTCTAATCTCTCATCTGTCATTGGGTTAAAGTGATATAGGGGCCATAATGATTGGAACAAGGATCTTCGGTATACCATAGTAACCTTACACTAAGGAGCCCCCAAGAACAGTAGCGGTTATTCATTTAGGCCCCTGTATGAATACATAATACATCCCCTTCCGTAAGAGCCCGAGTATCATGATCCCTACTATTGATGATATAAATCCTGCATCATCTTACAGTAGAAGCCCAAAAGTTGGAAACCCAATAGCCTCCATCCTTAAGAGTCATATATAGGGAATCATAGCACAATATTTCCCTAATCCGGTGTCCAACTTTTTTGGGGTTACTATAAGGACCCTAAACCATGGGAATTATGGTATATTCCTTATTATGGGTCATGCAGGATTTATATCAGCAACCGTACTTCTTTGAGTTCTTTAAAGGGTGCATGAGGATCCCTACTACAATCCCTATGACCCTAAACCGTAAACCTTTGTACCCAGAGACTCCGATATCCCATCATTAAGGACTATTCCTTAAATGATAGTAGGATCCCCTAGTATGGTTTTAAAGTATATTCCTCAATCAAGGGATATTGGAGTCTCTAGGTACCCTAAACCCTAAATTGATCAGGCCTTGCGGCCCCTGCGGCTTTGAAGATTGGTGGCTTAAGATGTGCCGGTTCGGGGATGAATGTGGGGAGGACCGCCAAGGAAGATGTTTGTCTGGGTTTAGGGTTTAGGCTTGCTACAAGGTCCGTCATGTACAACAGCCTGCCGATTTATGAAACAAAAAGCATAATGTTCAAGCTCAGCTTGCGGTGCCAGCAGGGCGCTTACGTAGAGGCTCTAAGCACTGTACCTTTTCGACTTGCCTGTGTTTCCCCATTAATCTGAAGGTGGCTTGCCTCGCTGTTTCATGTGAAGCCTGCGGGAATGCCAGGATCAACCGCATGCCACGACCCGCCCGGCTCAGGGGAAGTGCGAAAGCTCTAGCTTTGCATCTCAAGCAAGGGTTTAGGGGTCAGATTGATCAAGGAGAAGAAGATGTGAGCTAGAAATTAAGAAGTGCAAGCAGCGGCTGTACCGGCGACAGCGACAGCCTACAGTTCGAATCGTATGCTATCTTCTGCATGCACAGTCAAACAAAGTAGAGGATCTTCAATACTTCACAATCATGTTGGCAAGTCGCTTCTCGGTGAAAGGAAGTAGTTAGCATAGGGGCCTATGAGCCTATGTGATTGCCAATACTGTTCATCCCTTCGCCTTCTCCTGCTGACATCATACTACTTTATGCCCCGAAGCCCTGTTCACATGGTTCGGGCCCATGTATTATCTGTTACCCTCAAACCCTACGCCGGAAGCCCTGATTTTTTCGCGCTCTACATGCTCGTAAGAGCAACAGGCAAACCAGGACAATGCAGCCAGATTCGTACGGAGGGACAGAGGGTATGGGGGAATCATGCTACGGCCCTTCTAGATAGGGTCGTAGTCCTTTGTGTTAAGTTTTTATCCGTAACATTGAGAGCAGACTGCAAGGCTTGAATCCCAATGAACCCTTAGATAACCCCATAGAGCCCTAGAGTACTCCTAATATTAACATCCTGGAAAAGCTCGTTAAAAATCTTGCAAAGCCTCATGCACTCCTATAAGACCGACCCTATGGAAACCCCTTCCGAACTCCCGAAACTTTCCTGAACCCAGCCAACCGCGAGGCAATGCCGGCGCAGATTCCTTCCATTGCCTCGAGGCCAGTCATGAGGGTGTGGGGTTCAGGGTTCGGTTCTGGCCGAGGCCGACATATTGGGGGATGATATAAATCCTGCATTACCCATAATAAGGAATATACCATGATTCCCATAGCTTAGGGTCCTTATAACGTGATGCAGGATTTATATCATCAACAGCATTGGGGGAGCTTCTGAAGAGAAAGTGGGTTTAGGGTTTAGGGTTTAAGGGTTATAGGGTTTAGGGATTGAAGTAACATTACACTATACTTGATGCTATCATGTTAGCATTATAAGGGGACCCTTTAAGAATACTCTTGCAAGGTAGTGATTAGTCCAAATTCCCATCATAGAGGCAACTGAATGCCGTAATCATTAATCTGTTTGGTTCCTTGGGCTATACCTGTACCAGTATCCACCACGAAAACAATATCTTCGAGTCATTCTGGGCCCTGTACTGGGCTACGGGATGGGAGCTCCGTTTAGGGTTGCTTATATGGGTCCAGGGCTTAGGGATTGATGGCTTAGGGCTTCACGGAGTTTTAGGGTTTACGGTTTCGGGTCAAGTTCTGCGTTTCTCCCTGTTGTTTCCAGTGTTCAGACTTTCTGAGACCTAGTCCAGGCTAATGCCGCAGCCCCGGCTCATGTTAACCAACAAGATCCCAAACTCAAAATAAACATAACGTTGATGCAGTTGATGATATAAATCCTGCGCTACCCATAATCATGGAGATACCATAATTCCCATAGTTTAGGGTCCTTAAGGTGCTGCAGGATTTATGTCATCAACAGTATGTAGCTAATTTTTCGACCAGGAGGTCTACTCACAATCTCCAAACCCTCAACCCTAAACCCTAGCCGTGAAACTCTGCTGTACTCGGAACCTCACAAGTCAGAGCCCCCATTCAGATGGGGTTTAGGGTTTAGGGTTTAGGATATCATAGAGCATAGGAGCATATTGCACCCCCCCCCCCCGCCAAGTTAACCGCACCCATGTCCTTGTCCTTCCTCAACTCAGCGTGCAAGCCCTAAACACCCACCCCTTCAACAACTTAAGCAGAAGCCGAATCATCGCTAAGACGGGATGGTCGGCTGCAAAGGAGTCACTCAAACCCTGAACCACTCTTAGCCTCAAGCCCTAACACCCAAATCCCACGCCTCAAATTCCTAACCCTCAGCCCCAAACCCTAAACCCTAAACCCCAAACCCTGGTTATGCTGACAAAAAGGAGTTCAAAAAAAAAAACCCAAACCTTTAAACTGGCTTCAATCCTAAGCCCCAGACCTGGATCACCTCACCCGAAAACTCCAATCCCCAAAAATCCCCCCCTCCCCCGCACCCAGCCCAGAGTCCCGCAGAACCCCCAGCAGTACTTTGTCATAAGTTGGGTAATTATACTATTTTGCATGTTTATTGGTACTTAAACTCAATATAGGGTCTAGAATTTTCAAGTTTTTAATACTATCCCAGCCATGAACTAGAGTATTGCAGGAGTATGACGTCCACCAGCAATGGTCTTCGCTCAAGAGCCTCCTCACGGGCATCTAGTGCGGCGGTTTCTCGCTTGCCGACTAGCAGCGTTGTGTTTTGGGGCTTAGGGATTAGGGTGTATAGGGCTTAGGGTTTAGGGTTTCGGGTTTCTTTTGCGTTACGAAGCCCAGGCCCACAGTGCTAGTGCAAAGTTCTTTGCAGGCCAGCGGATTGGCTTCAGGGTCGGAGTCCGAAAACTGCGGTGGTAGAAGAGAAGTAGCAGTAGAAGTAGTGCTAGCAGTGGCTTGCAGCAGTAGTAGTAATAGTAGCAGCAGCTGAAACCTAAACCCTAAGCCGTGTAGCAGTAGTAGTAGTAGTAGTAGTAGTAGTAGTAGATCCGCGAGATCTGAGGAAAGAAACTTCCGTTTCAGATAGGCTTCACAACTCGGTGGTTTAGGATGTGTGGGGTCTAGGATTTGGGGTTTTAAGGGGTCTGGGGTTCAGGGTATAATGTCTAGGCGTGAGGTTTGGTTCCGGGTTTAAGGTTGGTTTTGTCGAATCTCTTCTGAGCTGGGACTAGTTACTAGCCCAAGTCCAGACCCCAAACCCGCCAAACCCTAAACCTTGAACCCTAGACCCCAAGCCCTGAAAGTGTACTCTAGGGTTTAGGGTTTGTATGGTCTTGCCGCCGTGTTCAGCGCGCGCTTTTTTTAGCATTGCGATTTAGGATATAGGGTTTAGTAATTAGGGTTTAGTATCGTCAGTCTTTGCGGCTCGCTAGAATCATTATGTCACTGTCCCAACGCCCCGTGAACCCTAAACCCCATAAACCTAGACCCCCACCAGCTAGATCCAAAGCCGTCAATTCAAAAACATGAGGCTCGAAACGAAACGGTTGTTCAGTTTGGGGTTGAGGGTTTAGGGTTTAGGGAAGCCCCCTCTCCAAACCATGTGAACCGAGGAAGGATCGCTGCTGCCGGGTTTGCCACACTTGAAAGAGCTCATGCTGGTGGTGGATCCACAGCAGAGCCACGAAGTAGTGCAGGTTCACATGCAGTACAAGGACTTCCCTGGGACCAGTGGTAAGCAGAGGTCTGAAACATAACCCCTTATACCCATAGGCCCCTAAGTAGTTCCTGTTTAAGGATTACCTTATTATCGGATTCGAAATATAAACCATAAAAACGGAACTACTTCGGGGCCTATGGGTACTTCCTAGATGTATAATGTATGCTAACATGCCCAAAAATCTCAATTCTACATATGACGGATCGAAGCCCCAAAGGCAAGTCAGGGAGAAGGCCAGCACGCTGACCCCAGGCTGTGGTCTTGCGACACAGTGAACCTTAATATGCAAGCTTTGGGGGGGTTCGGGTTTAGAGTTGTTAGGGTTTAGGGGTATCTAGGGTTTAGGGTTTAGGGTTTAGGGGTATCTACGGACTCCAAGAGTCCTTTGGGCTTTGCATGGTGTGGTTGAGGCCTCTAAGCTCTAAGCAACATATCCCGCACCCATCAACACCCTATACCCTCAACTCTAATATAGGGGCCTCAATAATTACCAACACTCTTATGGGGTATAAAGGGGCCCCAAAACCCTAAATCCTAAATCCTAAACCGTAAACCCTATTCTAATTATTAAGGCCCCTATGTTATCCCAACCGACCTGCCAGGAGGGTCGACGGCGACAAGACGAAAGGCCAGCGGCAACTCTGCTACAGCCGTAGGCCTTGAACTTCGGGCCCTGAAGAATTAGAAAAGAGTTCCGGGGGAGTATATGGTCACGGTTTAGGGTTGAGGGTTTAGGGTTTAGGGTTTTCACTGGTCCGACCCCTACATGAAGCTAAGTTAGAGAATCTAAACCAATGCGCAGCATGAACTTCAGACCCCCTGGTAAGGCTCCCCGGTTTAGTGCAGGGTTTGGGTATAGGTGCATGTCGGGAGAATGATGAGACGACGTTTGCCACATCACCCAATTTCCCTAGATTTCGATTCCGGCGCCGGGCCCCGCGATCCCAGCAGCACGCCCCAGACTGCCGGATTCCACCCCAAATAGTCATGAGACGCGTTATTCCTTCGTCTTCTAACATTTCCGCAGGTATCGTTATGCCACACAGATCCTAAACACATCGACTCAAAACTTCCCATGCAATGTGGGGGTCAAAAAATTTCGCAACAAATCTTCCCTATCTAGTCAGAGAGCAATCTACCCCAAAGCCCTGCCCCTTTTTTGTCTGGTCGTTCCTTTCCTGGCTGCAAAAGAGTCCCCAGGATGTGGAAACCTACCAAGATGTCCCCAATCAGTGAGAGACCATACCTGCAGCATGCCATTAGAAATCAATAGGACCAGGCAGTCACTCAAAGCCGGGCCTGCGGTTCGCCATGCTTGGGAAAATACAGGTTGCAACTGGTTGCCATCTGTGCTCTTCCATACTTTAGGGTTTAGGGTTTAGGGGCGCAGTCATCGCCCATCTGTGGTTCGCTCAGAAGAACACCGGGACGTCATCCAGAGAACGCCTGCGAATCATCAGAAGACCACTCGCGACAAGCACGGCGACCAGGACGGCAACCCACCACGAGACCCCAGGAAAGCATCGTTCCATCAATCTGCTGCTGTGATTGAAGGTTTTCTTGAGCCCAACATGGTCCATAATAGTCTTTTTAGGATCAATCCTTGCCCGTGCAGCATGCAAACTGCTGAATGGTGGGACGTCAGCACCGCACCACAGCGGGACGGGAGACACACTAAACCCTAAACCCTCAACCCTGAACCCTAAACCCTAAGCCCTAAACCCAAATAGTCGCACGTGACGAGCTATTTGATCCGCTCCACGGCGCGCAGCACCTGACGGAATCAATTCCTTCTATACTTTGAACCCAGGCAGCCTGAAGTGTTACCACACTGTTTGGGAACAACCAGCCTCAAAAACCCTAAATTGCAAGAGACCTCACACATCCAACAAAAATCCAGAACCCTTCAGTAAAATGCCTGTCGAACAGAAAGCCAGTATCCGAAGCGAGGTCGACACTCTCCCCACCCTCAACCCTCGACCCTCTGAACCTCTGGGAAACTAGCAGAAAAACGATGTCACCCTAAACCCTCGAAACCTCTGGGAAACTAGCAGAAAAACGAGGTCACCCTAAACCCTCTAAACCTCTGGGAGACTAGCAGAAAAACCTAAGTACCATCCGTAACCCAAGTATATGATTATTAGGTCCCTTGGACCCTTAGGGAAAACGAGGTCAACTTGCGGCAGTTCGTGCGGCCAACGGAGTGGCAGACGATCAGCTCCCAAGTCCAGCAGTTCGCCAATCGGGGAAGGCCCGGTTTGTTGCACCCAGAGACTCCAATATCCCTTAATTTAGGGTTTAGGGTTTTAGGGTTTAGGGTTTAGGGGTTTAGGGTTTAGAGGTTTAGGGGTTTAGGGTTTAGGGGTTTAGGGTTTAGGGTGAGACCTCAATATCCCTTGATTACGGAATGTTCCTTAAATTATGGTAGGATCCCCAATGTGATTTAAGGTATATTCCTTAATTAAGGGATATTGGAGTCTCTAGGCAGGAACTCTAAGAATCTCAGTTGTGTTTGGGGCATACGATAAGTAGAACCTTAAATAGCATACCGTTGCTTATTCTATAGCATTGGTAACATCGTACTATGTAGTTTACGGTCTGTATTAGGGTTCTATACCCTGCAATCTGAAAGTAGGCTCTTACACTGAGCTTTGAATCCATCCTAGCCCAGACCAGGCCCGGAAAGTACATGGCAGTTCTTTAACTTTTGGGTCAGGTGGGTTTAGTGTTTAGGGTTTTCGGTTTAGGGTTTAGGGTTTATAGGTTCTGGATCCACACAGGAAGGCGTACAACAAACAACCCTGCGCACTACAGCCTGTTCATCGACATCCTCAAATTTGTATTGGGATGCTAGTAGTGGAGGTTAGTATTTAGGGCAGGATCTGATTAAGTTCCAAAGCTCAAGCAGTGAGACTAGACTTTGGCTTCAAGCCGCACAGACAAGTCCGACACCTAACCTTGAACTCCGCTAAACCCTAAACCCTATAAGCCCTAATCCTGAACTCCCCTAAACCCTCAACCCTATAAGCCCTAACCTTGAACTCCCCTAAACCCTAAACCCTATAAGCCCTAACCTTGAACTCCCCTAAACCCTAAACCCTAAACCCTATATAAACCCTGTAAGCCCTATAAACCCTAGAAGCCCTAACCTTGAACTCCCCTAAACCCTAAACCCTATAAGCCCTATAAACCCTATAAGCCCTAACCCTGAAGTCATATGCTAAGCTGAGACCCAGGAAACCCCAAGGATGCCAGACTCCTTCAGTCGGGAATGTAGCCTACGCCATACTTGGAGGCCGGTTTAGGGCTTAGGGTTTAGGGTTTTGGGTATAGTTAGGGTAGCTCCATTTAAGGTACTTATAACTCAACTTATAACCCACTTACTAAGTCCCCTGGGCCTCCAAGTACGCCTTACTCTAAGGTTCCATGTACCCAAATACCCATGGGCTCCATAGTAGTTCCTGTTTGTGGGTTGTATTTAGAATCCTACAAGGTAATCCCAGAAAGGAACTGCTATGGAGCCCATGGGCAGTATATACTTTGGCCTTAAAGTACATATGTAGGGATCACTTTGAAGATTATGTTTAGACGTCTCGACCGCCTTTTTGTAGGGTACCTACCATTCTCGTTGTTTGAACGCACAAAAAAGGTCGGGTAAGGTAGCTTAAGGTGGGGAATGCAGGTAGGCCTTCGAAAAAACTTAGAAGTTCCTCAATCTTTAAAGGTGAACTTTAGGTTTTGAGGTTTTGGGGGTCTAGGGAATTTAAGGGGTAGGGGTCTAGGGGTTTAAGGATTTAGGGATTTTAGGGATTTTAGGGGTTAGGGGTTTAGAGGTGTAGGGGTTTGGAGGTTTAGGGTGTAGGGTGGAGTCCCCGACCAGGTCGGGCAACACGCAGAAGGACGACCTGGGTATGGTGTGGGTCAGGATGATCGACAATCCCGGCAAGCATCTCGCAGTGCAGAGTTTAGGTAGCAGGGTTTGGGTGTGAGGTGTTCAGGTTTTACCCAGAGACTCCGATGTCTCGTAGTTAAGGACTATTCCTGAACTTATAGTAGGATTCCTAATGTGATTTTGAGGTACATTCCTTAATTAAGGGATATTGGAGTTTCTAGGTGGGGCGTATGATGTTTTTGTTTCAGCGTTGAGTCCTTAGGCGGGGTTCAGGGCTTGTTGTGTCTGGTCCTGGGCTTAAATTCTAGGACATTTCCAGGTGGGTAGTTTCGGTTATAGGAGCCTTATAGAAGGCCTATATACCTTTTTGAAGCCTTATAGAAGCCCTATATAACC